AGGAAGGCCTGGCACTGGAATGTGGGGCTGACCATGCTGGAATGCCGGGGTGTATGGGCGGCATCTATAAATGTCCCATTTCAGGGGAAGGACCAATTGGTGCCCGTGTTTATCTTTTTCCAGCTGTCATTTGCCCAGCCCTGTCTTTGCTCCCTTTGAAAAAAATATGTCTGTCTAGATCGTGAGTACAGGGAGATGGGGGCTTCAAAGATGGCAAGGTTCTGGCGTTCCTTCAGGAGCTGCACCTAGCCTATTTGGTGGCTGCCTGGAAGATTCAGACAGGGATCAGTCTGGCCAGCAGAAAAGCACACAGTTCAATTAACAGGTTGTCTATCTCCAGACAGTCTGACTGGATTAAGATGACTAATGCTATTGTCCAGTTCCCACAGGATTTTTCTCTTTCTTCCTGTCTCTAGGCCAACTTTCTCACCACGTACATGCTCCTCTGAACAGTATCTACATATCTTTTGTTGCCGTATAGTTCCCTGCAAGAGAGTTGCTGGGCCTGCTCTTCTTCACACTGTTGAGGAGGAGGCACGGACCTCTGTCGTGACTGCTGTAGATTGCAAGTGGAATTTGTTGTGAGAATTCCCCAAGAATTGCCCCTAAAGAAGGGGGCAGATAGTTGTCTATCTTGGATTAATCTGTATTGCTGTGTATTGGTCCTTTTGTGACCAAGGTTTAACAAAGACTTACTGAGATGCAAGCCTATTTTGTTTGTATACTTTTAAAACTGCAACTGAAAAATTCCAGTTGAAAGCTGCATGAGAACGCTCATCTCAGTGATGCCCTCTGGCTGAGCCAGCTTCTCAGTAACTTGATGTCTGCAGAGTACCCAGTGCACTACAATGTCTGGATACTGCCATCACAGTAATAAAAGAGCTATTATAGTCTCTTCTGCATAGTGCAGGCTTGAAAACCATACCCATGAATGTCTGCATCTAGCCACAGCAAAACATTTAAAATCTGGTTTTGCTTTCTGGACTATAAGAAATGAAAAAGACTTGAGGTTGGACTAGATGAGCTCCAGAGGTCCCTTCCAACCCCTACCATTCTGTGATTCTGAGAGTTTACATCTCTCAGTAGCATGTCACTGTGGTTAGTTAATTAACAATCTGTACTTTCTAGTCTGAATCTATTTCTCTTCAATTTCTAGCCATTGATTCCTTCTCTGTATTTGTTCATTAGATTTAAAATTAGATTTGTTCCAGTGTCTGGGGCAAAGTGATGGATCAGAACTGCAAAGGCATTTGCTTCTGCATTTGCCTTGGAGGATGCAGGGTAAAACATGATTGTCCTGTCTGCTAGACTGCGAGTGACAGAGGCAAGGCTGGGAAAAGCACACTGCATTGCCAAAATCTTTGCTTACCCAAAATAGAAATTGTTGCTTGTCTGATAAAAATAGCCCACTGTGAAGTAGAGGGAGCAAGGCATCTGGAATACACTGCTGCAGCAGAAGTGCTGGAGATTAAAAGTGAGGGGTAGATAAAGCTCAGTTCCAGTCATGTCCATGAACAAAATAGGTATTGGGGCTCCCCATGGACTGTCGGACTTCATGCAGTCTTGGTGAGATGCCCATCTCCACAGTGCCCTGAAACAGTTGTTTACTTTTTCCCTTTGTGCAAAGCAAAGTAGGCCTTGGTGTTGGTGGGATTCACCTGGAACGTGGGTTGGTCAGTGTTTGTGCTCTTCTGCTTGGCAAGGGAAAGCAGCAGTGGTGTCAGAGGGGCCTGGCTGTAGGACCAACAAACCCACTTTGAGGTGGTGGATTGCTGGCAGTGTTTTCATTACAGCATCCCCAATGAACAAATAATGTTCCTGAAAGTACTTTTTGACTGGCATAACTTTATGTGCACTAGAGCTTTTGCTAGTGTAGTTTATGGCACTCTGGGAAAAGAAGGTTGGAATTTAGGGGGGGGTGGGGTGTTTGGGTTTTTTGGTAGGGTTTTTTTACATTGGGGAAAAAAGTCATATAGCTACAATAGCAAAATTTCTAAGGGTAGCACAGGCTTCACTCTCTGAAGAAATATGATACGAGCCAGGCTCTGCCAACCACTGCTTTAGGTTGGGTTGGGGTTGAGGGGTTAGGGGAGGGCCTCGGAAATTCCTGAGCCTCTCAGCTGCCATTGTAGTCACCAGCCCACCCAGCCCTTGAGAGCTATTTTTGTGAATGCTGCCATGACACAGGAGTTGGAGAATGTGCTCTGAACAGAAGGGGTCTTTTTGCTCCCTGCCAGGCACTTGGATAGAGGGAGACTTGATGATTGCTCTCTGATTATCTCTGCTTCCCTGAAGAAGGCTTTGGCTTGGGTAACAAACTCACTTTTATAGTATGAAAAGAGGAAAGGTCAGTGCTTCATCTTGGATGGGTACAGTTGAGCCTAGGTAGAACTGGAGCTCTGTTTCAGTCCTGCCTTTAGTAAGAGCGCTCAAAGGGATCTGTGCTCTCTTAGCTGTTATTTAGCTCTCTGTTGTCAGTGTGTATTTTGATGAAGTGGGATCATAAAAGCACGTTTGTCCATACAGGTGTGATAGAAATGCATGGGGTGGGTGATATGGTGATAACTGTGTAACTGTATGGAAATGCATTGGAGCGAGGTGAGAGGTGTTATTCTGTGTGACAGTGCTGGAACTACTTGAAAGTATGCTGGGGTGAGAGAGTTGATGTTTGGCCATGTGGTGGTGGAGTTGAACTGAGGATGTGCTGCAGTGAGACAGAGAGGATATGTGCTTATGCAGGTTTTGGCAATCAGTTGTGCTAGAAAGCAGCAATGTTCCTGGGTTAGCAGGCTGGAATGTGTGCGAGAGCTGGAAAAGTGTAGGGAGTGTGCTTGTGCCTGTCAGCTACTTGGTGTATGTATTGCATGCTGACAGCAAGGTCCTCTCTTGGAAGTAGCATTCAGAATCACAAGATTGGTGGTAGAGTAGAAGAGAGGGAAAGGATGGTCGTTGTGGGCATTAGTACTGGAATTCTTCTCTCCCCTGTCCTTCAGCATCATCAGCTGCTCTGTATTTTCTCCCTCTTCTCCTTGACTCTGTTCTCCTTATTCCTTTCTGATACTTTTGTTTTCCTCTCAGCTTGTTCAGTATAATAAGGCCAGCTCCAGAATGGAGGGCGACTGTGCTATACTGTCTCTGCCAGTGGCACAGGACAGCCAGGATTCGTACCCAGAAACAGCTGCAGGCCCGATCGTCGGAAGCGTGGCTGGCCTTCCTCAGGACCCGGCGTCACCTGACAAGTGCACAAGTGGGGCAGAAAAGCCCCAGCTAGTCAAGCAGGATCCTACGGGTTGCCCCTTGTCCCAGGACCAGATGCCAAAGACGCCAGAGCAAGAGTGTATGATCGACTCTCAGCCGATCCTCTTCAGTGAGAACCCCTTTGTGGTGGCTAACCGCAAGGGGAAAGCAGGAGGCAAGGCTTGCCTGGGGGGCCCGCCGCTGGGCTATGGCAGGGAGGGAGTGCTGAAGACCAACCTTTACTCCAAGGCAAGCAGTCCCACAGCATGCTGTGTGTGGCATGCAGTCACGCAGTTCAGGCCACCTGCATTCTACTAAACCCTTGCGCATGCCCTGGGCCCCGGGTGACAGGCAGCACGAGGCCTGTGCCAGGGCTGGCCCCACCTATGGGGGGCCCGCCGCTGGGCTATGGCAGGGAGGGAGTGCTGAAGACCAACCTTTACTCCAAGGCAAGCAGTCCCACAGCATGCTGTGTGTGGCATGCAGTCACGCAGTTCAGGCCACCTGCATTCTACTAAACCCTTGCGCATGCCCTGGGCCCCGGGTGACAGGCAGCACGAGGCCTGTGCCAGGGCTGGCCCCACCTAACATGTGTGCTTCTCCGGCGTTGCGTGCAGGGGCTGTCAGTCGCTGACAGTCAGTGAATTGTCTTCTAGCCACTAATGTACCCCAGTTATTGCCCATTGTGCATGCTGCTGAGCCCCTCTTTGAGGGGAGGCAGTGATGTCAGGCGACTTCCCCGACATCTCTGGGTGGGCAAGAGCCAGGCTAGGAGCAGTGGTGTTCCCCGTCTGCTGAGATTGTGAGTGGGGAGTTGGCAGGGTTTGTAGAAGAATGATGGGTGGTGTCACACTTACGTATCTGGGCCTGAAAACACAGCCATTTTTAGACTTCTGAAAACTAAGAGGTGGTGCAGCTGACATAGTTAATCTACAGCCCAGGAGCATGCTGTTCCTTGAAGTGACACATTTCAATATATCTACACTTGTAGATCTCAAGGGACAACTTTGCTTTCTGCTCTGGGAAATCTGTTTGTATTTAACTTTCTCACTGTTGCACAGGAAACCTGTGGCAGAACAAGGACTAGACCCAAAGATATTCTGTTCCAGATTAGTACCACAGCACTCTCCCCCTCCTCCTTTTTCAGCCTTTTGGGAGATCTGAAAAGCAAGAGAAGCAAAACAACCACAAACAAAACAACTCTCAGATGTCTTTAGCCTAGTTCCTTGGTGAGAATTTGTTTTTCAGAGATGTGTAGGCAGATAAGCATAGAGCAAGGCATGTAGTTGAATCTCTGTAACCTCTCAGTATGTTAGAAGTCAAAAGGCTGTGGTTTGGACATTATGGACATCCAGCTTTAGAGTTCAAAAGATCAAAAAAGCAGCAGTCACAAAGCATTGACCCTTTTTGAAGGTAGACTTTATGCCAGATCAGCTATCGTCATTCTGGAGGTGGGTGTCACAGTTAGCTGGAGCTAATTTGATTCCATGTTGCTGTCAAAAGGGATCACTTCCCCTCATCTGCATGTCCTTGTCCTGTGTGCTGACACCAGAACTGGAGAAGTCGTGTCAGCTGGGTTAGGGAGCTGAAGTCCCTGAAAAACAGCATTGTAGAACAGCTCCTTCCTTGGGGATTGGTCAGCTGCATGTGCTGGCACACGGGAAGACTTGGATAGCAGTAGCCAGAAGCAGGGTGAGCAAGAACACTCTTTGCAGTGGAGACATGGAAGTAGATCAGTCGATACTGATGCATTCTCTGTCATTACAGTGCCGACAAGGATCAGATGCTTTCTGTGCTCCAATATATACTTCAGATCACATCTCCTGGCTTGGTCAGTAGAAATACTATTGCCCAAGGCTGACTTGAATCAAACTATTATGATTCAGTAGTGTGTGGGTATGATTGCGGAACCCTAGATTTGCTTAAACAGTTGTCTGAATCCCAGATGACCTGTTTCCATCTTTAGGCATCTAAAATACTCTTTAAATCATGCTCCTTAATCCTGTGGACAGGCTGCAGGTAATTAGTGGGACTCTGCTCTCTTCTTGTAGCTGTTGGGGCTGGCTCAGCCTGAGTGTTGGTGCTCATGGGTTCCTGTGGAAGGGTTGAGCACCCTGTCTTTACTATGCTCTGGGCTACTCGTAGCAGTCTTACCAGTAGGGCAACAGCAGTGGATGTGACTGGGGATGAATCTTGTCTTCTTTCAGTTGGGAGTGGCTTTTTTTGCTCGGTGCCTATACAACAGGAGGTTTGCCTAGACTGTGGCCGAGTCTGTTGAGGGCTAAAGAGAAGTTAGGGGGAGAGGATTCCCAGGGATGTCCTACCAGGCAGAAGGCTTTAACCTGATTCAGTTGGCATTGCAGGGTGTTCGATATGATCTTAGTTCCAGTGTTTAATGTCATTCTCTTGCTGTTTCTAGCGCTTTTTGCAAGTTTCTGCCATGTGACAGCTGCTGTTGGGCCCAGTGCTAACTCTGCTCTCTCGCATTGAGGTGGCCCATAGTTGGCCTCGGGCTGGATGTTGGTGGTCTCCCTTGCCTCCTGGTCTCACTGCTAAGGGAGTGGCATGGAAGTTGCTGCTGTACAATAACTTATCTAGCTTTGTCTTCTTCTCTCTTGCAGGCTCCTGCTGGTGAGTCTGGGACAGGAAATTCCAGGCGTGAAACCCCCTATTCTCCTAGTAATCAGCAGGTGAGACTACCCCCAGGACAGGCAATATGGGGAAAGGCAGGGAGGCGTGCTTCTAAGGCAAGATGGCACCGGGGCAGAAGGGCAGAGGAAGCTGAGTATGATTATCATCCTTGAGAGTGACACCTTTGAGGTGAAGAGGTATCCATCACAGGAGGCAACTAGAGAACTCTGCTCTTTCAAAATGTCTCAGAGACCCAGGAGTATAATTAGCTAGTCATAAACTCAGTGGAAAGTTATTGCTCTGAGGGGTAACTTAATTCACAGGGCGAATTGAGTGACTACAAAATGGTAGTTGTCTTTCTTTTTTGAGAATGGCCTCACCAATGCTTTATACAGAGACTGTTTAATTCTGGCAATTGGTATATCAGAAGAAAAGGAGAAGTCAGGATTTAGAGAATCGTCTCAGGTCTGTAAACCAGTGCTACTCGGTCTCCCAGAGAGATCCCTAGTTCTCTTTGTGATGCTGCTGGCAACTCGCATCACCTGTTTGGAAGAAAACTGAAGGATCCTGCAGCAGACAATTACAGGTTAGCCTACCCTTAGGGAATGATTTTCTAAAACTGTTTGGTTAGGGGTCAGCTTTCACTCTGAAATGAGAAGTTGGTTTATTTCTTGTAACTTTTGATTTTATTAGGGGTGTTTTGTTTGTTTGAAAGCTTTATCTATTCTCACTAGCTATTCTTATTTCTCATATCAACTCTGATCTTGTCTTTTAAATCTTGCTAAGTCTTTGATCTCATTTTTCATCCTGTGGCAGTAGGTTTCACAAGTTAGTTGAGTCTTTTGAAGTTAAATACTCTTATTTTTTTAATACTTATTTTTTTTAAATTTTCCCTTCACAGTCATTACAATACATGTTACTGGTTTTTATATTAGAGGGCTGGAATGAACTGAAACTTGTACTTTGTACTCTATCCTTAGTCATTTTGTGTCTGTTGTACTCCTTTTGGAGTGCAATTGGTCTCCAACTATTTGGTCCCACTAGCTCTGGCACTTACCTGATCTTCAGCCAAGTCATTTCAGTTCTGTAAACTGGACAAAAACTGTCTGCTTTTTTCTAGGTTAGTTCAGCTTAGTGAGATGAATGGCATCATCTTGGGGTGAGATGACAATTAACACTGACTCAGGAGAAGGGTCAGGACCATGCAGCTGGGAGCAGTGAATAGGACAGTGGAGCTGTAGTGAGCAACAGTTCTGTCCATCTTCTATTGCTTCCATGTCCTTTCTTGCATGTCCCTCAGTACTTACATCTTTTGAAATTGAGTGACCACCAGGGACACAGTAAGATTAGAAGATATATTCATTATAGTAATACTATTTCAATGCTTTCTGTTCCAGCTGCATATATTTACTTATTTGCTTTGCTGATAGCAGTTACATACTGACTGGAGGTTTCTTTTGGGCTGTATGTCTGTAAGTTTTCCTTTTGACACAAGTGCAAATTTTCTTTGAGTTCTTTCTATCTAGAAGGAATGGGGTCGGGGTGATACTCCTCCTCCTACAACAGAAAGAGATCTCGATATTAATTTGCTCCATCTTTAAAAATCCTCAGCTCTCAGTTGAAAAAGAAGCCTAAATCCCAAAGGGTGGCCATGTGGCTGCTCATAGAATGATTCAGGATGGAAGGTCTGGTCTAAGACCACACTCAGAGTAGGTCCAATTAGATCAGGTTACTAAAGGCCATGTCCAGTTAAATTTTTAACACTTCAAGAGATGGAAAGTCTACATCTTTCTAGATGCCAGCTCCAATATTTGACTACCTTCATTGTGATTTTTTTATTATTTTTTTTTAAGTAATGTCCCTTGTTCCAATTTGTCATAGACAACTTCCATAGTACCCCAGACAGTTTTGGTTATCAGTGTTTTGGCGTTGGAGGCTCAGTGCCAACGTTCTTGCCACTAGGAACCCTCTGGCTATAATGCCATCTGCTCTTCTAGCTAGGGATGGGCTTTGCTGAATGATAAATTGTTTGTCTTTAGAGTCTAATGGTTTGTCATTATCCAGTTCCTGTGGCAACAGTGACCACTTTGTCTTCACATAGCAGTCACTGCTCTGACAGTGGAAACTTTCCAGGTGAAACTGTTCACTCCCTCTTCCATGGGCTCTGAGAAGAATAAACAAGGACTTACTAATGAATTCTACAGAGTTAAGAGCACACCAGGAACATTTTTGCAGATGCAGGCATTTGCCTTTCCAATGTTACATTGGATGTCTTGAATTCACTGTTATGTAGCACTTGCTGTAATTTGTAGCCTTTTCTAACACTTCAGGGGGGTTGTATCATGAATTCTCTGTAGCTTGAGCAATATATTGAATACTCTGTACAGCTTTTTTCTTGTTTTTCTCATTTATCTCTCTGTTCAGAGATGTTTATGCTATGAGAGATAATCTATTAATTTCTTAAAGCCTTTACAGCCCATTTCATGTCTTTGTCCTTAATTTTAGCCTTTTAAGGTCTTCAGCAGGCTTGCTTACTGCTTTCACTTCTGAGATCTAGTCTGTGTATCATTTTGATAGCCTTTTTTCCTCATTTGATCTATGACTGTTATGATTTAGCAACTCTGGCAGTTGTTCTTGAAGATGCCTTGGTGTCGCAGTGCTGAGCCATTAGTCTTGCTTGTGGCATTCTCAACCCTGCATTCTGTACATGAGCCTTCTGTTGCGTTTACATGATTTAATACTTTTTGGATCAGAGCCTTCCGCGGCAGTCTCCTGCATGTCAGTTCAGGCTGTATCTGGTAGATCTAGTTCTCTCTGGACAATGAATGTTACACAAAATGGAACAGGTCCAACAGATAATACTGAAGGACGCAGGGCAATCACTAGCCTTGTGCCTTGTACATTTTCTGGGGATTCAGGAGATTTGACCTTCAGTTTGTTGCTCCGGAGTAGAAGTTCCAAGGAATTGCATCTTTAATCCTCTGCTGCCATCTATTTTTAATGTAAATGCTTTGGTTTTGACATCTTGTAGTCCAGCCAGAATTTATAGGTTTATTTTAGACCTCTCAGAGAATTACTGAGGGAAGTTGAATCTTTTGTCCTGAGGCTGGCATCATGATGGTCTTGTCTGGCCTTTAGTTCTGCAAGCTTCTGGTGGGGGAGGAAGGATGTGTTTGTGGTGGGTCTGCGTGTGCATGTCAAGGTGGGCAGAGGGGCTTTCTCTGTGGCAGGCAGCAAGGCGCTGTATGGGGACTCTGACAGCTCTGGGTAACTGCAGTCTCTGTTCTGGGAAAGGTGCTTGTCTCAGCCTCTCATGTGGAAAACCCAGTCTCTTCATTTTCTCTCCCATTCTCTCCCCTGACGATCCTCCCTGGTGTTGCCCCTCTCCAGACGCCTGCAGCCCCTCGGCCTGCTCACCTGTCAGGCAGGGAGACCCGCTTTGTAAGTGCCTGTTGGTGTGCAGTGTGCGCTGCTACTCCATGCTGCTCTCACCCGGCACCACTGCTCTTCGCTCCTTCCTCTGGCTCCGCATTCCCCAGCTCTTGGGCTTGATGTGCACCAAGGGCTCGCTGCGGAGAGCAGTGCCTGGGGCGGCAGGCCAAGGCACAAGTGTTCCGTGCTAGCCACTGCTAAGATGGCATCTGTGAACGCTTCCTGGCAGAGAAGCTGTGGTGCTGATGGCTTTGCTTAAGCTTAGTAGCAAGTGCAGGGGGCAGGGAATGTAAACAAGGGCCAGGACCACTGGAGCTGGAGTGGAGAGGAGAAAGATGAGGGTCAGTGCCTGGAGATGTGCAGAGAGAGTTGTGAGTGCCTTCTCACATAACAGAGGAACTGGGAGAAGCTCTTGTGGGTGGGCTCTGGGCTGCTCCCCACGTGGAGAAGAAGGTAGAGTAGTTGGGGGCTTTTCCCTGTATAGGGTGGGTGACGGGGCAGGGGAAGGCTTCGGAGTTTTGTATTTCTTTTTGTATGGAGCAAACTAAAGGCTTCCTGTATGGACTCCAAATTTACACCGGTATTTCTGTTTTCAGGCTTCCATTAACTTCATTACATCACAGGATGACAGTAAATCAGTAAGTACATCGTATTACGTACTACTTAGAGTAGTGTCCCTGTGCATTCTCCAGCACATAGAGTTTGCCTCTTCCTTCTGTGTGTGCTCACTTCCAGCCCTGCAAGTCTCACTGTTGGCTCCTATTCTGTTTTCTTCAGTCCTCCACTATATCTCAAGTTTGTATAAATGCACTGTCTTAAATATTGTCAATTCGAAAACTTAATGCAAGTGGTTTTGCAGCTTTTATTCTTGTTTAGCCTTGCAGCTTTCACTCATGTAGTTTTTGCTGGCTTACTCAATTCCTGCTTTTACTTCGTATTAGATGTTTTGTTGGCTTCCACACAACATCCAACAGTGATGACACCTAGGTCAAATCTCAGACTCTTGTCTCTGCTCTTCTGTCTGCATTTCTAACTGGAGCCCTAGCTGAGTCTCAGTTAATTTTCATCCCTAGCTTTTGACAATACCCCTTCCTGGCTGATGTTTCCCTACTGCATCTTCCATTCATGTTGCTTATGTACTTCAAGTTTTGACATACTCATGCCATACCCCTCTGACCCTTGCAGCTGCTACTTGTGTGGCAGATTTTTCATTATGTCCCAGACTTATCTGTAACCCATTGGTCCTCTTGTGACCCTGACTTGTCTGAATCTCTTTGCCTGTCTAAAATACTTGCACTAGAAGCATTGTTTAGTGTTTGCTTCAGTAGCTCTCCCTCCCAGTCTGGTACCTGGAGTCAGCAGCACAGCTGAGGAGTTGAGCTCAGATGCATGGATCTGTCTTATTCACTTGCATGGCAGAGACATCTTGCTGCCCTAACTGCTCACTTTTCTTCTCTTTCTCTCTCTCTCTCCCCCACCCCCCCCTTCCCCATGTTGTGTGGCATTGACACAAGCAGACCAAGCCAGGCGTCATTCAGCCTCTTTCCCGAGTGCGACAAAATGCAGCCTCACATAATTCAGAGGACGGGGACAGCCCCAATCCCTTCCAGCAACCTGAGCTGTGCTTCAATATCCAGAACTCTGTAAGTGGCCTGCAGTTCCTTCATGCTAAGCTCTATCTGCCATAGGTTGCTATAGTGCCACTTTTTCTGGTGGGTAGGCTGAACACACCCTCCTAGTGGTGATTTTGTAGTTTAAAGATCACGTGCCTTAGCTGAGGCTGGTCTTGTTTATGCATCGGTCTGGATGTCCTGGGTAGGAACCCATACTCTTGACAAGCAGAGTCATGGTCAGTGCATCCTATTCAGTTTTCTAACATAGATGAGCCTCGCCAGCCTGCCATGTGTCTTCACTTACCCATTCAAGAAGTTAGCATTGTTGAAACTGTATTGTGGCTGAAATCTCCAGAGCAGTTACAGTTGTAGATCCTTATTTATGAAGTGTTGCCTTCTGTTGAGGCATCTTTCAGAATCTTTGTCTATCAATGTCTTGCATCTTGGAGCAAAAGCCAATACCATCTTGCTGATAACAAGTTTTATGATTTGCAAAATTATTGTTTTTGAAAGGTTCATATTCCCTGGCCTGTATGTTGATGGGAGAGAAAGATTTAGGTATTTTGGTCTTTGTCATGACGGAAGACTTGTATACCTGTAATATAGCTTTTCTCTTTTTATTGAAGCTTGTATGACATGATACCAAATTAGAGACTCGATTTGCAGACAAACAGCTATATATAATCCATGTAATTGGCCAAGATTCACATATTTTACAATCTCTTCTGATCTCGATGTGCTGTTATTTAGCCTATGCAGAAGGGAACATGATACAGCAACATAACTTAGCCTCAGTCCAGGACAAAGAAAAAACACAAACACCTGAAACTGAGTTAGTGCAGCTAGAGGGATTGAAAGAATGAAGCAACTAAAGGGAATTTGCTTTCTAGTAGAAAGGAAGGTGGTGGTGTCCTTTCCCCCCTACTCCCATTCATTTCTGTGATGCTTTGAGCAGGTCATCACAACCCTTCTTCCTCCTTGAATGGGATAGGAGAGGTCGGGAAGATAGATGAGGAAAAGACCAGTGACAAGCAGCAGGAGGGTCCTTTTGGACCTTATCAGATGTTTCTGAGTAAGTGGAATTCTGTGAAGGGAAAATTTGAGATCAAAGGCAATTCTTCTCCAGATTATAGATCCCTGAATGGGTTGCCACTTTGGATTAGGAGACTGTGACCATTAGCCTCGAAGTACATAGAAGTACACACTGGTCATAAACAGAAGTACAATAGCCACTGCAAAAACCAAATGAGACTAATAGATCCCTTCCCGTGAAGAAGACCCCTTTAGTCAGAAATGCCAGATAAGGCCAGAGCTTATCTTTAATTTTCTAATAAACTAAGTGTGGCTTGTTCAGCCCTAAGTTGGGGTCAGAGTCAACTGTACAGCTGTCCTATTCCAGCCCCAAAAGCCCACTGATTCAGGTAGGCACAGGCTAGTTGAATTGGGTGGAAATCCTTAAGGACTGCGACAGCAATATGGCCCCTTGGCCAAGAGATCGGTGACAAAATTCTGGTCAAGTCAGTGAGGATCTGTACCACCAGAAGTATCATTCCTCCACCATCCAAGAAATAAAATGAGGCTGTGATACATGTGCTGCTGTATATAGCATGTATACAATATGCTGCTCATGTTTCTGCCCAAGGCTGCAGGAACTGTCCCTTATATATTCCACTCTTCACACTTTGCAGGCTGAGAGTTGTGCTGTGTTTTCTCCCATATTTGGTTTTTTTGTAACACCTGTGGTTATCTTTACCTTCTTTCTGTGTCCCTGTAGCAAAAGCCACCTTCACCACCCTCTCCTGACGAGATCCCCATCAATGTCAAGCAAGCATACAAGACCTTTGCAGCAGTGCCCTTGTCACACCCTCTGCTCGAGACACAGGTAACTAGTGCTGGCTGGGGGGGGATGTTACACAAACAGTGGTACAAACAGAAGATTGAGCATTGCAGGTGAGCAAGGGAAGTGTGAGAATAGGAAGGAGGTAGTGATTTGTTTCCTCCAAAGAAAGCTGTCATGAATGAGGGACATCCCTTGGAACTTGGAGTTGCAGATAGTCACCCCGCAGAGTCCTGTCCATAAACAAACCAAGTCCTGAAAGCTCATGAATTTCACATCACTGTTATTCTCCCCGGACATTAGGATGCTGTTCTATATCTGTACTATTGTGATATAAAGAAACTCTCTGAACTTCCAGATTCCAGGGCCAGGCTAAACCTGTTCTGAAAAATTTTTTGTTAGAATTTGATCTTTAACATAATTGGAACTAATCCTTCTCCCCTCCATGTATTTGAATCACGGAACCATTCAGGCTAAATGAGGTTGTATGCCTTGATCCTCCATGCAAAACAGGGCAACCTGTGAAGTTGTATGAGGTTGCTCAGGCCCAGTTGACTTGAGTTCTGAATTTCCAAAAATGGGGATTCTGACATCACTGTGAAGAGGTGTTTTTTTTTTCTATATGTTTTATCAGAATTTCTTTTACCACAACTTGTGTCTGTTGCCTCTCATCCTTTTGCTGTGCATCTCTGAGAAGTCTGACCTTGTGCTCTGTAACCCCCCTCTGGGAAGTTGAGTATAGGAATGAGATCCCCCTCTTCTAAGCCTCCTCTTTTCCAGGCTGAACAAGCACAGTCTTCTGAGCCTGTTTTTAAATGTCATGTCCTGCAGCCCCCTAAATCATTTTGATGGTGTTCCAGTTGACATGCTGCAGTTTGTTAGTGGCATTCTTGTACTGGGGAGTCCCAAACTGGGCACACTGCTCTTGTAAGTGCTGAATAGAGAGAAAGGATTGCTTCCCCGGACCCTGCTGGCTGCTCTCCAGCGTATTGTTGAGGCATCACCCACACTGTCTTCCCTGCTTGTCCTTCCTGAAGAGCTCATATCAATGCATGGCAGTGCTCCAGTTATGCAAAGTCTCTGGAGCTGTTTATAGGCAATCATGCTATCACTTCAGTTACTAAACTAAAGAAGCACAACACTGTCCCCTTTGACACCTCGTGTTTCAAAAGACCTTCTGTTCTCTTAATCATCTTATTGCTTTCCTCTTTGCCTGTTCCCATCTGAATTCTTGCTGGCACATCTTTGATGCAAACAAGATACCCTATTTCACAGATTTCTTTCTATTGTGGTATTGGGGGTTTGTTTGTTTGTTTGTTTCTTTCTTTCTTTCTTTCTTTCTGAATCTTAATTGACACTACCTTTCCTTGTCAATAGATCACACTCACCTTTTTCATAATCATGCTATACTGGGAGCTATGGCTATTCTGCAGTGACTTGTGACAGCAACTTTGTGTTACATCTGAGCTAATCCTGTCCTCCCACTGTCTACCTTGTCCTGTGTTAGTGCTCATCTGGCCTTATATTGCTCTGGTTTGGTAAATTAATAAGGGTCACAAGTTTTTCTTTACTGTTTGTAGGGTTGATTTTTGGCCATTTTAGCTTTATATACTGATTTACTCAGAATTAGATGACTGTCGGTAGAAGCTCAGGGAAGTTGTTAGCTAAGTCCAGGATGAAGTGGAATTGTCTCTCTTGGCATCTGTGACACATTAGATGACCTAAGTCCATGAGTCAGATTGTATCTTGTACACAGATGATTTCTCCAGCTTCATAGTCTCTAGCTGATGTACTGTGGTTTAAGAAACAATGACTGATTCTGAAGTAGATCACCTTGTATTTTGCATTATTAAATTAAATTCTTTTCATCCTCCTCAAAACAACCTGTCATTCCAGGTTGATATTCCACACTGTTTTGAATTTTGACAATGTTTGTCCCCATTCAGTGGAGCGGGATGAATGAAATAGTTTGCAGAGGTCTCAGACAACTCTGCTTTTCTGTGAATCTGTATTCTGGTCTTTGCCATTCACAAATTTTATTGACACCTTCCTGGTTTCTGAGTCAAATTTGGCAATGAAAATGTTAAGCAAGATTAGTCACAAAACTGATCTTTGAATTCTCAGGCAAATCTATTCAGTTCCTTTGTTTCAAAATGTATTTATATTATCAAAGGAGAATATAGATTAATCTTCATTGCACCTGTTCCATGTTAATCTTTTTGATTTATTTTTGTTTTAATTATATTAATCCATGAATATTTGTCCTGTTGAAATTGAACAGACTGATAGCTCTGCTGCTCAAATTATTTTTGCCTGCTTCTTGATTTTTAAGAATATATTAGCTATTTTTAGACATGAACTGCCACCCAATTAAACAAGTCAATTAAAATTCCATGCATGTAAGACTTGCAGTTCCACAAATAATTTTATTCAGAATTGTTCAATAGTGATTATCTTGTCCCTGCAGGTGAGTGTACTGAGCGCTTAGGTTTTCTTCTGTGTTAGCAGCAATAATTTCTATTTCCATACGTTTGCTTCTTAGCTAGAAGCCTTTTTTTTCTTCTTCCTTTCTCTCTTATTGTGCTCATTACTTATATAAAATGAAAACTTTCTGTTAGTTTTTGGAGTGCATTTGAATAAAGTTGAGGGTAGTCTACTTGCTTTCTTCTTATGGTTCCTTTTCATTTGTATAATTAAAAAGCTTCCATATTTAAATAAGTTTTTGGCAGTTCTCATTTTACCCTTACTGATTTCTGGTTGACAGATGGATTTGGTGGATCGATTTATTTTTCTGCTCCTTGTAATTCTACTCATCCAATATTCAGTTATTTATTCTGGTAAATACAGATTTACTTCCTTTCTGATGGTGCTTCCACTTCTTAGAAGTAAATTTTTGATAGTTGCGTCTTTGATTTAAAGCCTCGTCCATCTTAAGCTAAGCCCTCTGCTCCTGTTCTTTACCTCTTTCCCCATGTTTTTCAGTTTCTGCCCCTTTAAAAGTTGTCACCATCTCTTTCTGTTTTGCCTTCAATTTAATGTAAATCCTTAGTACTCACAATTGCTAAGCCTAAAGTGACATTGTCTTTGTTAATTCTGGGACTGTGTTGTGAGCCAGTCCATCAGCTAGTGTCTGTGACTGCTGCTGTTTAGGTGGCATTGGTGACACTTGGCTGGAGGGCAGGAGTGGTGGTAGAAAACTTTCTTTTTAGAATGTGCCTACTTCTCTGTCTTCGTAGGAACTGCCTGGTCAGACCAGCACAGAGAATCCCAAAACTGCCCTGGAGGTGAGTTCTGGTGGCTGGAGCTGGAAGTAGGATGGGGACACGCAGAGGATTCAGGCTTTCAGGACTGTTGATGTGGAGACAGGATCACAGCATGGGCACGTGGGTGCTGGGGGGGAGGTAGGGAGGAGGAAGAGGGTGTTGGAGCACGTGGCTGGGGTGGGCAGGTGTGGGGCATGCATTGGGGAATGATGTGGGGAGGGAGGTTTGGCTTGGTCGCCCTGTGGGCAGTGCCGGTGTGGCTCTTGCAGGTGGCCACGCACAGCCCTAGTGGACTGCACAGCCCTGAGCAGAGATCCTTCCGCGAGAGGCAGAAGTATTTTGAAATTGAAGTGAAGCAACAGCAGATGGATAAGCCTCCCAAGCGTGTCTCACTGGTAGGAGAAGATGACCTGAAGAAAATGAAAGAAGAGGAAGGTATGTTGATACCTGTGTAAGGAAATTTGGCCTGTTAAGTGAATCCTTTCTCCATGGGAGGCATGAGAGAGCACACGCACCAGAAATCCAGCACTTGTAAAAACCCATGTGTGGTTCATAAGGCTTCAGTTTTATTACTTTGCAGTTATGGTAGACAGGTGAGAATAGAATAGTTCAGTTGGAAAGGACCTACAACAATTCCTCTAGTCTGACCATTTCCGGACTGACCAAACGTTAGAGAATGGTATTAAGGGCATTGTCCAAACACCTCTTAAACACTGACAGGCTTGGGGCATCGACCACCTCTCCAGGAAGCCTCTTCCAGTGTTTGATCACCCTCTCACTAAAGAGATGGGTCCAGTCTCAACCTCCCTGGCGCAGCTTTGAACCATTCCCAGACATCCTGTCCCTGGATCCCAGGGAGAAGAGCTCAGCACCTCCCTCTCCATGTCCCCTCCTCAGGAAGCTGCAGAGAGCGATGAGGTTGCCCCTCAGCCCCGTTTTCTCCAAACTAGACAAACCCAGAGTCCTCAGCTGCCTCTCACAGGACATGCCTTACAGCCCATCACCAGCTTTGTTGCCCTCCTCTGGACACATTCAAGGGCCTTCACTTCCTTCTTAAACGGTGGGGCCCAGCACCACATACGGTTTTCGAGGTGAGGCCATACCAACACTAAATACAGCAGGATAATTCCCTCTTGTGACCAGCTGGTTATACTGTTTGATGCACCCCAGGGTGCAGTTTGCCCTCTTGGGCACATTGCTGACTCCTGTTGAGCCTGCTGCCAGCCACCACCCCCAGATCCCTTTCTGCAGGGCTGGTCTCCAGCCACTCCTCTCCAAATTTATACTGTGTCCAGAGTTACTCTGTCCCAGGTGCACAATCTGGCGTTTATTCTTGTTAAATTTCATGCCATTGATGATTACCCAATCTCTCTCTAAGGCCTCATGTCCCTCGAGAGTCAGCAGCACCTCCCAGTTCGGTATTGTCAGAAAATTTGCTAATGGTGCATTCAACTCCTGCATCCAGATCGTTGATAAAAGTATTGAACAGAACTGGCCCTAGAATTGAGCCCTGAGGAACACCGCTGGTGACTGGTTGCCTGCAGAATACCTGCCTGCAGACAGCGGCCTGCTCTCTGGCCCCTTTTGTCCCTGATCCTCTTGTGACCTATATGTCTTCCTGCCTAATGGTTCCCCGGTCCACTGCCATGTGTTGGAGGCCTGTCACCAGCACTCCAGGCTTTGGTCCCTCCAGAGGCGAGTGGGAAGATCATTCTCAACATGTGTATGCAGATTCCTAGGGCAGTCCACTCTGGGGAGGGGGGCAGAGTGTGCACACAAGTTCCAGTTTGAGTATAAGTATGCTCAGCATGATGTACTGTTGGCAATCTGTTCTATAGAGAGTGCCCAGGAATGGAAGTTTAGTGAATAAGGAAAGAGGGACTGAGGGAATGGTGTAGAGTTTGTTGTATCTGAAGCATTAGCAGAGTGGAGAAGAGACAAAGGCATCCATGGAGAGGGTATGGACTTAAACCAGCACAAATTGCAGGGATGATGAGCATAAGGACCTGCCTGGAGGTTGCATCCTTGTGGGGGTTTAGCAAGTGCTTCGTGGTGTAAGATGAGTCTGTCTTATTTTGGCAGCTCGAAAACTGCAGCAGAAACGTACTCTTCTGTTGGAGGAAGAGGCAGAAGAGGATGAGATGGTAAAACAGGTGCCTGAGATGAGTGTGCAGTCCAGTGTCATCATTGAAGGAGTTGAGTACAAGATAGAGAGACTAAATGGAAGGAGCATCCAGGCCCCAGCAACTCGGTAAGACAAGACTGGTAGCTCAGTACCACCCACGTGTCAGAGGTGTCCCAGTAGCAATAATTTTCAGGGAAGAGGGCTGGGCAGTATTTCTTATTCAGCATAAAAAATGGGCAGATTTTTCTAGCTTTTTCTTTTCAGAAGAATAGCTCCTTCAGCTGTGCACTTGGGTATGTAGAGATGTTAATTTTTAGAGATAGCTAATCCAAGATAAGCCCTGATGCTGAACCTATGTTTGGAGGGGGTTTAGGCTTTTGTTTCCTGGTTCTCCTGGACTTGTCCTCCAGGTTGCCTTGATGTTGTTTTTCTAATTCTTGGGCATAGAACTGGGGAATCAGAAAAGGCTTCTCATAAGACTTCAGTTAAAAATAAGGTTGCGCTAGAATAAAGCTGAAGCTGTCCTTATCTGACTCTCTCTCCTGAGTCTTTGGTACAGACATTCTTCTCTTCACAAACACTTTTATTGTCAGTCTTACAGTGGCTGAGAACACTTATCCTGTCATTTTGAATCTCATTTCTCCCCATTGTTTCTGACCAGTCTCTGTTGAGGAACTTCTCACGTAACAAATGCATTGAGACCTTCCACCTCCTGTGCTGACAGGGCAGCTCTAAGGAGGGAAAGCAGCCAAATGCAAACCAGCTTTTTTGGTTTGATGTGAAGACCTACTTATTCCTACTGTTTTCATATTGAAATGTGGAAGGTTAGAGAACAGTAAGGCTGGATCCATCAGATGATTTTCAGTTGCTTATTGTTTAGACTTGAACAAAGGCAAGGCAGTGGAATAGGCTGAATTTGTGTTTCTTGAAATATTTCTTGTCATGCTAGAACAGAAACTGAAATTTAATCAAAATAAACTTGAGCAGTAAAAATAAAGGCTCAGAGTCAGGATAAACTTTCTCACTGCCAACTGAGCCACAGTAACTGTGCATGTTCTTAACCTGTGAAAGACAGGCTTGTGTGACCTCCTTTCATTACAGATCATTCTGAGTAGTATCTGCATGTGCACAACCTGAGTGCAGATGGTAACTACAGCTCAGCTGATCTGAAGTTTGCAATAATTTGGTTATGAGCATAAGGCCTCGGTGTGTCAAGCAGTTGCGCATAGAGTGGCGACATTGAGAATCACTGTTCTGAAATCACTCAGGATTCATCCCTAGCCCAGATGTGCACTCAACCCAGGAGGGTCATCCTTTGTTAACATTCAGGTATATCTGAGATCAGCAAAGGAAAAAGCTGGAAGCGGCCAGGCTGCCCGTCACATAGTGACAGCTGGAAAGAGCCAGGCTAGAATTGTGCGAGAGTTTGTCAGCAAACATGATGAATTACATTTGAAGAGTGTGTGTGTGTAAGTGGATGGTTGACCTCCAAATGAAGAAAATGAGTTCTGATGTTAGAGAGCATGAACATTTATGGAATCAACAAGGAAATGCTTGCAGCAATGGAGAAGGAGCTGTTAAGCAAAATCATTAAGAGCTGTGTCTTCAAACTGAACTTTCCTGGGTGTGCCAGCCCTGTGGTACTGTTAGCTGACATGCTTGTTTTGCTGTAGGCCCTCTGAGGTCAATGAGAACAGCAGCTCACAGAGGAATTCACTGGAAGAGGGAATCAAGCCTGACCAGAGAACCAACTCTATGTCTGGGTAAGTGGATCAGCAACATCCTTTGCCTAGGAGCTGCCAGATGAGGGAGCAGATGGCTCCTCTGTTTTAGCAGACATAGGGTGTAAAAGGAAGGATTTTGTGGAGAAAGGGTCAATGTGATTGGAACCAACTTCTTAAGAGAAACTCACCTCCATTATATGTCCTTCTGTCTCCCAAGGTGATGTCCTTAGGTATGGTACTAAACAGTTGATTGGGGGTGTCGGTCATCACCTTTTATCTTGAAAACAAGCAGATAAGAGTTGTGGTGGACCAGGCCAGCCTACCTCTCACTGTTTCTCTCTCTGCCCAGGTTGAGCCCATTATATCCAGGAGCAGGGGATCCAGTGGCACCTGTGCGGACAGCCAAAGCTGAACGACGGCACCAGGAGCGATTGCGAATGCAGAGTCCTGAGCTTCTAAGTGGTCAAGAGAAGGAGCTTTCTCCAGCAGAACGTCGTGCTCTGGAGGCAGAGAAACGAGCAATGTGGAGGGCAGCACGGTGAGACAAAGAACCTTCACTGTTCTGTTCACTAGGCTAGTTCAGGAAAAGGGGACCTGCTGCATGTCTTTTGGATTACATGGTATTAAAAACAGGGAATAAACAAGCCTTCCTACCTCAGATATTAGGGGAGGTTATATAGTATCTGTTCAAACAGTGCAAAGCATCCACCGCTTGGCTGAGCTCATGTGCTTCTGACAGCTACATGGGTGAGATGTCTCTTATATTTCAACAGTGCTTGCATAACCGTGAAGACAGTGGAGTCTTTATAAAAAACAGAACTTAAACACCTTTATGTGATGGTGAATATATTCCTTCCCTCTCAGCACACAGCTTCCCACCTCCTTTGTAACATGTGAAAAAGATTATATTTATTGAAGCTGCAAGATGACATATTGAAAATGAAAAACAGAAAGAGCATTTCGTATATCCAGTGTTGCTAAACTGGAAAACGTACTGAAGCCAACAAATGAGCAAGACGAGGGCATTCTTAGCCACACAAACTGTTTCATCAGCTCTGAAAGAGTGATTAAAAAATCTTTTGGAAGAAAGAGAACTTCCTTAGCTCAGAACTTAAAACTTGAAGCTAGTCTAGGTATTTACTGTGTCATATAATTCCTTTCAAAAATTAGTCAAGCTGCTACTGCAACTAATTACAGTTTTCTTCCCATAATGTTCCTGTAGGAGGCATTCAAAGGGCAATCTGAAACAGTCTCTTTTGGGCTTTGAATAAGAGCTTTTAGAGGAACAGGGCTGCTAGTGACTCATCCTTGCCAGCCTGCTAGATAAGATGCTGGAACGATTACCGTGAGTTGTGATACCACTTGGCAGTTCCAGTGTTTGTGCTTAGACATGGATGACAATGAAGCTGTCATCGTCTGGGGAAGCTCTGAGGATGAAGAAATGTATAGCGGAATCCTCAATGAGAGCTGGCTAATTATCTAGGGCTTTGAGGGTACAAAGCTTCCAATTGTTACTTGATCATGTAACAGATCTGCTTATGGTTTATTTAAAGCTGGACTAATGTTCCTAGTACCAGGGCTTTTGCCCTTCAAGACAAACTTTCTTGGTATGCTCCAACTCTTTGCCTTGGATGAGTCTTTCAGCTGGTCTGTCTCAGCTGGAATATTTTTTCTGATGCACTGCTTTAGTTTCACTGCACTGCCCTGTGATGTCAGAAAGCTGAACAGGTCACTGGAAAGGCAGTGTTTGTTATATGGGACCTTGATTTAGAAGAGATTGATTTCTGTCATCTTGTAGCACATTTCTTAGACCTTTGACGCTGGCCCTGCTTTGAGCAGTTTTTGGATCAGATGACCTCCAGAGGTCCCTTCCAATCTGAATAACTCTGTGAGTCTATACTTAGTAATCTCTCCTCCCCTGGCTCCCCACTAATGGGGCTACCTGCATACAGGCACAGTGATGAGTCAGGATGTCAACGGTGTGTGCTCTGGCAGGATTGTTTCCGCCCTCTGCTATTGTTTCATGCTCCAAATACTGTGGGATTCTGTCTGGCACTCTGATTCACTGAATGTTCTGCTGTATTTAGCATCTCACAACTGTTCTAGTTGGTGCTGTTCCCCATGGTTTCTGTGTCATAACTTTTCAGGTGTCATCATTTTCAAATGGAAGTTCTGTATTTTCACGTTAAGCCAGGAATGACCCTTTTACAAAAATACAAGTGGAAGAGAATTTATAAACAATGCCTGCCGAAACAGACACATTGCCCTTGTGTTATAGGGCTAGAAGCCGTGCAGGTGTTGTGGAGCCAAATGTGTGGTTACAAACCATCGCTCAGAAGAGGCTGACTGAGACTGAGATGACCAGATCCAGATTCTTGCTCTGGCATGTACTTCCTTAGGATGTTGGACCAGGTCACTAAGTCCCTCTGTGCTGCAGATGCACAGAGGGAGGGCTGTAATAGTACTTCTGTGTCTCACAGAAAGGCTATGAGCATCGAATACATTAAAAACTGTCAATATGATGCTGTGTAAGCACCACAGTGTCATCAGGAATAGACATCTTGCACATAGTTGCTGCTCAGTTTTTGCACCTAAAAACCAAAAAGCTGCACTGTTGTATTTGATCCAACAAAACAGAAGTTGTCCATCGGGCTTTTCCTTCTGAAAATCAGCATCACTGTGCTGGGAGAGGCAGTAGAGACTGATCTATCATCCCTTCCCAATTAGATACACAGGACTGTCTCTTGTGCCTCTAGTTCCCATGCATATTTCCTAATACGATGGAGCAGGCTTTATGAGGTAATGTCAGCTGTGATTCCTCCTAAGCATTAACATATCCAAGGAATACTGTAATAAAAGTTTTGTTTAAGATGGGTGTAGAAAGGAGAAACATGACATTGCCTGTGCAAACCTTTGAAAGCAAAGCCATTACAAGGACGTTGCTCTTGTCACAGAACGTACACCACTTTCCTCAGGACTCTGTGTTCTCCCATGAACTTGTTGCTGTTGCCAGCAGATAAATCTGAAAAATTCAGGGTGGGGGTGTCAGGATTTTTTTAGGTGATCACATGATTTGCTCCTAAACATTACTGTACAGCTGACTATGCTTTTGGGTTATCTAGGATTTTGTTGAAATTGCTTAGGGCACAGTAAAAGTTCTACATTACACTGTAGAAGGGTTAGTGAGCATTGAGTAGAGTGGTTTTGTCCACTATGGGCAGGAGAGAGATCCCTGCATTCCAAACCATCAGTCTCTTCTTTTCTAAGTCTGTTTTGTTCATGGAAAATGAACTAGTGAAGGGAGAGCCTTTTAGAGGTAAGAATACATGACAAGGAGAAGCTGCTTGCAGCTGTCTTGCTTTTCAGGTATCAGATCCAGTGTTACTGCTTTTAAGTTCTGTAGACCAGGTCCTCAGCTCCATTCTGCTCCTGATGCCAAGGTGTAGCTTTTTATTCAGTTCTTGGAGAAGTGTCTGGCTGATTCCCTGGGCAGGGTTAAGGCTTATTTTGGCATTGGCAGGAATCAGTCAGTCACCATAATGTGTTCCTTTTTGTAAGACAAGGATGGACTGTTCCCTGCTACCACAGATCTCCCAAGATGATCTGGTCTTCTTATGATCCCTCTTCTATAACTGCTAGAGGAGGCACAGTGACACAATGGCAGCCAGAGCTCAGATCTTACTTCCAGAGGCCCCCAGGCAGCACTGCCTGTGCTGTATGGGAGGGAGGACTGTATTGCCCTGCACATGGTGCTGCAGCCTCAATAACCTATATTTTCTTTAAGTGCATGCCACTGATTTTATTACTTTCTTTCTAATCTTCTATCTTCTGCTTCTTTCCAGTTCTCTGGTCTGTGTGCTGTCACTTGTGACCCCCATCAGTTTGCACCTTCTTGGGCGTTCCTTTTTCTCCCCGTGTCATCAGTGCTCTGCCAGGACATGTGATGCGTCCCTCTTCCCCCCCCCAGCACACACCCCTGTGCTCTGTTGGGACAAACACACTGGGACCCATGCTACATAAGTGTTCTGGGCACACACAATCACTGGCATTCGTGCCATAGTAAGCGTGTGATTAGGAAGGTACAGGCACATACCAAGGGGGCAGGTGTCCAGCAAGGGCTATGTGCATCTTGGCAGTTTTTCTGCCATGCACATGCTATTTTATGGATGCACTCCCCTCTTCAGTTGCATGTGTTCCAGGGCCTGTGGCAAATAGACCTTTCTGTAATGTGCTTGTCCATTTTGCTTCTCCCTTTCTCGTGGTCAAACAAAGGTGCATGCCAACAGGTGGTCAGATATATGTATGCAAACGTACACTAAGAGACTATCAAATGCGTGCACACACACTCACTCTGTGCTCCCTCAGTCTGCTTCACACATACACACTTCTTTGTAAGTACCTCGTGGGCCTTTCCCGTTGCTCTGCTGGGTGTTTCTAGTCCTCTCCGCCTAGCCTGTGAGGAGGGCAGTCTCTAGATGCTGAGGCTCTGAAGGCTAACGCTTGTGGGCACGTCATCCCAGATTGCCCTCTGGAAGGAGGTTCCTGCTTCCGCAGCAGTTGGTGTTGGACAGGATCAGATATAGGAGCTTGTTTTAATCAAGGCTACCCCTATATCAGACCCATATTTCTCCTTACCAGGGTATGTTCCTGTATCTGTTTCTTTCTTTCCCTGCGCTTGTCCGCTGCGATGTTCATCACCATCATCTCCTCTTCCTCTTCCTCCTCTTCCTCTTCCTCCTCCTCCTCCTCCTCCTCCTCAGATCTTCAGCTCTTGAAGACAGTATTAAACAGTACGAGCAGGATCTGGCCAGGAAGCTGTACCAGTCCCGACAGTGGGCACCTGCTCCCGGGGCCAGGCCAGCTCAGATGTCTAGTCCAATGCAGAGTCACGCCTCAAGAATCTCTGGGTCAGGAAGCCAATCCAGGTGTGCACAGCCCCCTCCCTGCCAGCTGCATGCTCAACAGTCCTGTCTGTATCCCTACATCCTAACGCAGTGCTCCCAGCTGTGGCCTGCTTAGGGGTAGGGAGGAAATTTCAGTGGTTGCTGGTGTTCATTTCCCTGAGGTCCCACAGACTACTGGCAGTTGTCTCAATGAGAACGAGGGGGGATGCTGGGTCTGTCTGGGAGAAGGGAGCAGACATTTCTGAGGGCTGAGCCCACTTTTTCTTAGCTATTTTGTAATTTCCTGATGGCTGAAGAGGGTTAAGATGCAACACACTGAGAGCGCAGAGGAGAGTAAAGTCCTGAGAAATGATCCTACTCATTTGAGCCCCTGCAGTTCCTTTCCCAGCTTGGGTTGTTCTCCCACCATATATGGCACCTCTGGAAAGGCCTGCAGCTTCTCAGTGCGTTGATGCTTAGCTCTAGGCTCTGTCTGTTCAACACATATGATGGCATGTGTGTTTCAGGATGACGGAAAACCAAGCTGTTCTCCTCTCCTGCTTTGAAAGTCTGTCTCCCTCAGGGAACCAAGGGTGCTTAATCTTGCCTTTCTGCACTCAGCCTGTTAACTGTGGTCTGACTGCTGGGCACAGAAGGTGGCATTATCTCTTACTGAGAAGGCAATGTCTGATGTCTTTTTCCCCCTCCCTCATTTCTGAGGCAGGATGAAATCACTTGAACAGGATGCTCTTAAAGCTCAAATGGTTATTGCCAAGTCCAAGGAGGGGAAGAAGCGCAGCACACTGGAGCAGCTGGCAGAGTCACCTTCACCTGTTCCTACCCCTTCACCAACACCACTGGAAGGTACTGTATAGCTATCTCTATCTCTAAGGAAAAAAGTTAATGCTTCTGTAGCTTAACTTGCTTGAAAGCAGACCTGTTGAAAGCAATTTCCTCCTTCAGCCTAGATTGGAAGGTCCTTTGGGGCATATGACATCTCTCAGCATAGGGAATGGGCCTGATCTATAGAAAACACGAGAGAATATCTGAGGTATGGTTCTAGGGAACCAGAGCAGAAATAAAACCAGCATCATGACTTTTTAAAAAAACAGGAAAGTGGCATTTGTTCTGAGAAGGCAACATCTTTCCTTAGCATAGCCTTTTATTAGCACACTTAAATGCTGCTAATTGGAAGGGGCAGATTTGAGGAGGTTACCCGATGTGGAGTACTGCGTCCAGCTCTGGGCCCCGCAACATAAGGACATGGAGCTGTTGGAGCGAGTCCAGAGGAGGCCACGAAGATGATCCGAGGGCTGGAGCACCTCTGCTATGAGGACAGGCTGAGAGAGTTGGGCTTGTTCAGCCTGGAGAAGAGAAGGCTGCGGGGAGACCTTAGAGCCCCTTCCAGTCCCTGCAGGGGCTCCAGGAAAGCTGGAGAGGGACGGGTGGCAAGGGCAGGGAGTGACAGGCCAAGGGGAATGGCCTGAAGCTGCAGGAGGGGAGATGGAGATGGGATGGGAGGCAGAAATCCTTCCCTGTGAGGGTGCTGAGGCCCTGGCACAGGGTGCCCAGAGAAGCTGTGGCTGCCCCTGGCTCCCTGGCAGTGTTCAAGGCCAGGTTGGATGGGGCTTTGGGCAACCTGGGCTAGTGGAGGGTGTCCCTGCCCATGGCAGGGGCGTTAGAACAAAATGATTTTGGGTCCCTTCCAACCCAAACCATTCAATGATTCTATGATTCTGTGATTCTGTAAGTGTTGCATATAATATAGCCACTCACTAAATAGTGCTTTTCTGTCATCTTTTGCAGATTGCAGTCCCAGAAACATCACTTCACCGGGAAGGCTGGTATGACATACTTCTGCTTGCTTTTGTTATCTCACCTATAATCCTGGGATGCCTCAGTTACTCAGCTTGGGTGTGGACTGTGCTTCTGGGCCATGGGATCCCTACTTAAATACTTAAGCAAGGTCTGGCACCATGTTATACAGAATCTGAAGAGGGTACAGTGGATGGAGCTCTACCATACCCATTGCATCCCCCCTTTTTTGCAACTACAATGTCACATCTGTTTTCTGCTGCCTTGTTTTGTTATTTCATCCTTTTCTTGGTTCTTCCTCTCCATGTTCAGAAAGCCTTTCCCTTTAGAGACTTTGGCTCATTGTCTCCTTAAAAGCATAAAACTGAGAATTTCAGTTGAAATCAGCATTTTCCATTTTCTAAGCACTGTATAGATGTTGTTGCAGAGAACTGTCAAAATTAGTAAGACAGACAAATGGAAGAGTGGGAGCAGCTGCACAGAGAGGGGACTGGGTTTTTCCCAAGGTCACACAATACAGCCAACTCTGGATTGAAATCCTGACTGTGCTACAGCCATCGGGAATCTTGCCATGAATTTTCTCACAAAAATAGGTTTCCTTCCTAACTTGGTGTGCATGTGCATTTTACTGGAGCACATAGTGTTTTCTCTGCAACTTGGAACCCCTGTCCTGACACCAGAACAGCTAAAAAGAATGTCCCAGAGATGCCTCATTTTCAGAGGCTGTATCCAGGCACTCTTGGCACTGAGAATGATGCTCTGCTTCTGCTTTTTTCTCTGCATAGATTGCTCAGCTTGCTGCTGGTTTTCCATCCATTTCTCTCCCCTTACTCTCTCTTCTCTGTTTCTTCTCTTTTGCTGTCCCTTCTAGTCCATGTCTGAAAAGAAGTTTGACTACCGGGAATTTGCTGCTATTCCTTCCTCCAAACCTGTTTACGAAATCCAGGTATAAACTGCATGCTGAACCATCTATTAGGTTGGGTAGGGCTTGATTTGATGGAAGTGCTTGCACGTGAAGTGATTACCTTCAGAGCAGAGGTTGAATGATTTGAGGAAGTCCTCTTCAAAGGCCATCTCTATGTGGGAGGCAATGACAACCAGCCGTGCTGTGTAACTGAGGGTTTATTGGAGACTTCAATCAAGTGGAATTGTGAAAAAGTTGGTCCAGATGGTTTTAAAATTAATGACATAAACTTTGCAAATATAAAGCAGCTACATCTTCACCTTAATTGATCCTGGAATATTTTTAAGTGAAAGATGAGAACTAAAAGGGAAGAAAAAACCATAGAAATGATTGCCAACAAATTGCAAATTGGAGTTAATGTTAACTTCAAACTGGAATGTATCCAGCATCCTGCCCAAGAAGCAGCTGTGGTGAAAATTCCACACATTGTAACTCTGCTGTAGATGAACTGTGAAGTAATCATGTGGTAAGAGAACACCAAGTTTCAAGGGTGAGCGCCATGGTGAGGTTCTCCTTTCTAAAAGAACCTCATTTCATTTAAGCTCCTTTGTCATGGAATCACAGAACGGTTGAGGTTGGAAGGGACCTCTGGAGGTCATCTTGTCCGACTGCCCTGCTCAAGCAGAGCCACCTAGAACCATTTTCCCAGGACTGTGAACTGCCTTTCTCTTATTGTCTGGGTTAGTCATTAGCTGATTGCATTTGTGACAGCTGATTTGAGCAGATACTGTATGTGTGTAATTTTTTTTTTTTAGTTTTATATAAAGACAATGAAGCAGATACCTGCAGTTATGTTTATGTTGTGTGTGGAGAGCTAGCAAGTACTGACATGTTAGGTTTTAACTTGCTGTCATGACACAAAGATCCTAGGTTCAAGTGTCATCCCCAAAGCCAGGCTGACTTTAGCAGAGTTGGAGTTTGAGGATTCTCAGGCAGTTATACATTATTTGATGCATATTCTTGGCTGACTCCTTTCACTGGTGGTATTGCTCAGCTCTTGGTAATCACTAATCTTTTTCTCTAAGAATCCCTTCCCTTTTGGGGTGTACACCTGTCCAGGATCTGTACAAAGTGAGTTTGAGCACTCAAGCCCCAGTGACAGCTCTGGACTACCTGAGTTTCCCCAGGCCTCTGCTGAGGCCACCATGCAGCACTGGGTCTTCATGCAGCTGAGAACGTGCCTCCAAAATAAGCTACACCTCCAAATCATCAGGCAGTTCCTCTGGACCCCTCTCAGCAGAGCAGTAATTCAGAGACTGTATTTCTTTCTGGCATAGTCACACAACTATGTCACTCGCTTAGGATCAGTGCAGTGCTATTTGGCTGGGCTGTGTTCCCCAGCAGTGCATGCCAAAGTTAACACAGCTCCCTGTGCTCTGCTCTCTGCCGTTCATGAAGAACATTTCTACCTTACATTTGCTTTGTTTCTAAAGCAGTAGATGGGCTGAGATCATCTCCCCCTCTTTCCTGCCTCCTCCACAGGGAGGCAAGTTTATATGGAAATGAGGGCTTGCACTCTCACAGCTGTGAAACTTCCCTGATGCTTTCCATATAAGTATATAGAGCCACCATCCTTTATCCTACAAGTAAAGAAAAATTAAGCTACTCCTGACTTGTGCTCTTGAGCTGAGCAAGACCCCTAAAACATTGATTTTGTTCAGTAGTGGCCAGAACTAGCAGGTGAGTTTGGCATTATTAAACTTGTTGAATACTGAGCTCTTCTGAAACCCTATCCTTACATTTGTATAGCTCAGAGAAGTGTTGAGCTCAGTGTAAGTACTGTGTACAAACCTAGAAAGAATAGTAGAAGTAACAAATGCAGCCACTTTTGAAGTAAACAGAAAACCTCAACAGAATACTTTTACCTTTCTTTCTTTGAAGCACTATATACAGTTAGATTAAATTCTCTATTTCAGCAAAATAAGTAGGATTCGGGACACTTATGCCTGTCCCCGGAGTAGTGCTGATTTTCAAGCCACCTCAAGTTCATGATCATAAACAAAGTTGTTTTCTCATGGTATTGTCACTCTGTTCTGATGAGCTACAGTCAGCTCTAGTTGTTGGAATGGTCTTCATATTGTGAAGGCTTTAAAATTAGCGGGAATGGGTAGAGTTTCATGATTATTACTTAGCCATTTCTCCAAAGCTGTCTCTGCCATCTGTTGGGATGTAACTGCTTCCTATCCCACATCAGTTCTCTATACACACCTGAATATAAAGAAGAAAGTTGATGTTGTCTAAGAAGCTAGGCATGGTTACAGTACAGAATTAGGATCCAGGACTCTCAAGGAAATGTAGCTCATGTCTTTGCTCTCCTCCCATGTTTCTACTGATTTTCTATTGTCTTTATGCTTTCTGCCTTTTG